TTGCACTGCTGCTGAACCAACGTAGTTTGAACATTTATTGTGGATTAAATAAATACATTCTCAAATTAATAAAATTGGCGTTACTATCTGATTTGCTGTCACCATGTAGAATGACACTGTCCGTCATTCCGTCCAAGAAAAAATTGAAATTCGCAGTAATGGGAACTGAAAGATCATCACAGGGTGTAGATTTTCTGTTTTTTTTAAGCCTGTAATGTGAAAGTACGCCACTTTTTTATATTTTTCTGATAACTAATATGACTTGGTCTATCTCCCGTTTTCGACTTCTGGAACACCCTGTATAAAACTGAGGAAATAATGTTTTTTCTATGTAGAACTTTCACGGACATACTGATGAATGTAGTAGGAGTGTTCATGTGGGTCGCTGTAGGTGCAACAGCTCTTCACTACTGGCATGGATATCTTGCTGAGCACAAATATTCACACGTGGATTCCGAAAGACAGGTATATATCAACATATTTTGTAGTTTTCGGGATGATATGTCAAAAGCCATCAAGCCATTTGACCTGTACATACATACCTACATATATACCCACGCGCGAAAAATATAGCCCTCCGTCTCATTCAGCCGAGTAAACTTGCAAAATGCTACTTCACACATCATACAAGTCGCCGTCGTAGTTGTACGTCAATTTTTCTCAATATCATGAATGTGATAGTTTTGTCACGGCATTCGTGTTTGGGTATATGATTTTAATTATAGACATCACTAATATTGGAAGAAATAAATATCTAATTTGTCATAACGCTATCTTTCTAGGTTGGACTGGCAATGGGATCACTCTGCATCATCAACGGAGCTGCATACCTTGTTGACTCTGTGCTTTCTGTAATATTCTTGATAAAAACCAAAATGCAGTGAAGATCTTAACTAACTGAATTCTAGACACTTTAACTATTTATTCTTTTAATACGTTTACAAATGAAGAGGTTTGAGGTTTAAAAAACATTTGATCTTTAAACCTACAATCTCCAAGGTTATTTTATAAAGAACCTCACTTTATATTTAATAAGATCTACACCAACTTGAACAGAATTAAAAAAGTACAAAGTTGCAATAACTCCAATATAACAACCAATTGTTCATCTCATGACAAATGTCAGCTGAAAACCATATGTCACTGCTTTCACAATCATACGTATGATAAAGTTAGTAGTAGTATTAAGTACTTTCGATATACGAATATGTATAATGTACGAGAATATTATAGACGTACCTTTTCTTATGGAAGAGAGTTTTTTTACAAATAGCCATAACAGAAAATACATATAGGTACTAAATAATGTTTTATTTTTATCGTAAGTCAAACTTTAACATAATTATACAATAGACAGTATTTAGACAGTTGAAGTGCAAAGAGGACTGGTGATATCGGAAACTCCCGATTTCCAAGTTTATCGTTTCTACCCGATCACATGTTCTCTGATTTTAGACAACAATTTTCGGATAACATATAAGCAACTTTCTAATCTAGTTCTCGCCATCCATAATGTCTGAACTTCTTTCTCTAAATGATGGCACGACAAAAAACAATTCCATGACCAGTCAATATACCGAAACACAAACATATATAACCTAAGTCCACTATTCAATCTGCAAACGTAACGTTTCGAATATGTAAAAAATTTGACTTACGTCTTGAGTCTTCAGCACAAATATGGGGACAATCCTTTTTATGCTGGATAATGTTATGAATCATAGGTTTACTAACAAATTAGCATCCACATAATTTTGAATGTGTTGTATCAATAGTTTTTGTGGTTTATTTTTTCCAACATGCATATATTTTGTACCTGTAGGTTAATGTAATATACAAGTTACAAGAAGTGACACCCATTATCTGCTGTTTACACGCTACCTTCGTGACAACGCAAGGGCCTTGCCATTTCATTAATAGTCTTTTTCGTTTAATGTCCTCCTTATTCACTTGAGCAGGAATTTGGTAAAAGTTGAAGATAGCAGATGGGCTCTGCTTATTTAAATACTCGTACAATTAAGTACTTACGACACCTTTGAGTCAGTGTAAACCGAAGAAGTAGACAATGAAGTTTTTTACTCTGGGCACTGATGGTCATTCTTTGGATGAGATTCTCTATTTCTTCAGTTTATCTTGTCTATCCTTTTTATTTTACATATTTTTCGAGCATATATTTTTTTCTAAAGTAAACAACACGGTGTGTCAATAGTGCGTTGACGGAAGTTTGTTGGTTTATTCATACGTTTTCAAATTCTATCACTGAACAATTATGATGCGCAGTCTTAAGGGCTACAAATAAAAAATATTTTCGCTTGAATTACATTTAAACAGTGATTCATATTAAAGTTGTGTTTTTTTAAATCGAACCTCCTCTACAATATTGCTTACGTATTTGGATTCATTGATAAATCTTGATGTGATTTTATGTGTAACCTTGGTACCTAAAATTAACCGTTTTTTGCAAAAAATAGAGGTTATAAAGCAATGAACAACACAGTCGTTATAAAACATAAAAGGCTGTGATGTTGAGGTGTCATTGAGCATGAAACGTACTAGCCAGACGTTCAACGTCCAGTTCTCATTACATTCAAAGAACCTGTTATGACAATTTGTATAACTTCACATTAACTTGATTTTTTCGAAGGAACTACCTACTTTTTTCATAACACCCAGTGTCAAACTTGATCACATTTCTGAAAATATAAATTATTAGTATCTACCTCCGACAGTTTTTTGCTGGTCAATTTGGTGTATTTTTCAGTTTTCGATATTAATAACCAGTATTTATTACCCAAAAACACGTAAATGAAATATAGTTAATATATTAAATAAAATAACACCAAAAAATTGAACATTAATCATCTTAGTTCTTTGTAACTGTTTAAAGTGATTGCCACGGATGTTGGACGTCTTCGTTGGCTGTTTTTCGTACACGTTACCTTTCAGATACCCCCACAGAAATAAATCCAATGGATTAATATCAGCAGACCTCGTTGGCCAACGCAACGTATTATTATATTTATAGCACGTAAAAAACCTATATAATATCAAAAAAACCTACAAAATGTCAACTTGCTGACTAGATCTCCTTGTGTACAAATACTTCATTCCGCTTTTGCTCCCTATGAGCACTGGGAGCGTCACCAAAAGCTTCATTTGTGGAGGAGTGATCCAACGACACGCTCAACGATCCGCTGCAAGTCAGTTCCCCAGCATGATTTGTTGGTTGCAGAATGCCGAGATAGTCTGTGGAGTATATCTCTGAGAGGATGATGTGACCTAGAAAATTGGTTGAGTAGAAGAGTAGCAAGATCGCATCTGGATGATTCTATGTGTATGGTGATTGTGCGTATACCCGTGAAGAGAATTTATTAGCTGTATCAGTTTTTTTTGCGTTTTCAATAACTTTCAGAAGCACTACGGCAAATCATCACCGCGCCCACGTTGTTGCGCACCACACAGAAAATATTTTCGTAGTGCCCCACATCTAGGCGCTGATTTATATTTTCTACTTGACATGAATTTTAAAATTCAAGTGAATGGAAATAAAAAATAATGTAAAATGGAGTAACTTCCATATGAATATACATACCTATTCATTAGGATTGACTCAAATGATTTTGAGTGATACCACAACAGATCCGCTGGAAAAACAAAATGGCAGTTTCTATATAAAAAAAGATTGATATTGATCGACTTTCAGTGAAAACTCAAAAATATAAGCGATAGACTGAATATGTTCACGCAGGATGAAAAATAGTATCTATAAAAATTACTACTATCTATAAATTCATCTTTAACGGCAAGTCATCAACAATGCCTTACAATATGACGCTATGCCAGTAGCCATCTACTTCGCATCTGCACCATGTACTCGTATGTAACTTCGCTACAGGTAATCGGTGTCAGTCCCCATGAATTACTGTTTAGTTAGGTCATAACGTAATTCATCCTAAGGAATCAATATGGCCAAACCTACTTAAGACTTGGAACTCCTAAAAATTCTTACCAGAGTAGATAGGCGTAATTTCGTTAATACAGGTTTAGTGTGGCTCGGTCGATAACCCCGTTATTAAGCATGTCATCTAAAATAAGTCGATTACAACAATTATTGCAAATGAAGCGATTTGATATAACATACTACAGGGTATTAATTCAAAATTATTCAGATACTGGACAGCTATATAAAGAACTTAAGATTGTAGAAAAATATTTATTAAAAATCATTCAACTCAAGAACAAAACTTATCTTCTGATAAGCTGTACTATAAGTCTGGAATGACGAACATTACTAAAATCCTCATTCATAATTGCATGGCATACTCTGGAAACATTGTATGACCCCCCTATTCACTCACTTTAATGTAAAATTTTTAATTTACCTTAATACCTGGCTTACAAGAAGGTTAGGTGTAACTCAAAACCCAATCACACAAAACCCCATAAACCTTATATCAGCAAAAGCTAATAAGATGGACAATCGAAGAATGTGAAAATATTCTGATGGAAAATTTTGAAAAACGAAGCATTTTGTGATCTGAACCATATCTATCGAAATTCTTGAAAGGAAATTGGATAAGGAAAAATATATGATATAAACTCTTTTAATAAAAAATTTAGCTATAACAGTGTTGTGGAGCTGCGAGCTGCCAAAGTTGAGTTCTTTTTCGAAAGATTGTTCAATATCTAAACAATTTGAAAATAGAACTCTATAATATGTTATGTCAAATTGCTTTCTATAAAAGGACCTTCCAAATATGCAATAAAATGTAAGTCTTTCCCTTTGGGACAACGCCTGTTTGGCTTCGCATAGTTATGAATCATCCTGTTGAGATAAAAATATTTTCGAAGTAAGGAGTATACATATACTGATGAATACAATTTTTGTAATTCGCTTTTTTAAAGTGTCGAGCGTAATATCAACTGAGCCTACACCAAAAACTCTCATCCCATTACATCTTAATTCACCACTAAAGGCGATTATTAGCAGAAAAACGGGCTTCATGCATAAAATATATTTATTTTCAAAGAGATACATATTGCGCTTGTTAACAGATTTACAACTTATGATGTATCCTTCCTGATTTGAATGTCTAACACCTTCTCACTCTCATAATCCGGTTTAGACAGCTCTCTGTAGGCCTCGTCATCTACAAAGCAAATCTCATGTCCATCGGGATCCGCTAAAATGATCACTCTGACGGTGGCTTTTCCGGGAGTGTCCAATGATATCAGGGGAGTGAGAATCGTTTGCTTTTTCTCCTTGATAAGTTCACTCAGTGCTACCTGTTCCACATGATGGCAGGAAAATGCAATGCGGCCATATGCTTTACCTCTATTCACTGCCTCACCTGGAAAACGAGTACGAATTCGATTGAAATGTTTTTCTTCTGGCTTCCACTGTCTATAAGGTTTTTGATTCACATCAGTTCACATAACGACGACTGCCGATCACGCGTGAATGGCAACGGCTTAAAGAAAAAAAACCTTATAAACAATGGAAGTAAAAAGTACAATATTTCAATCATCCACATTTTCCTAAAATTTTCAACAACAGTACGAATTCTACAATGTACGAGACTCTAAATATCGTCCTGCTAAGGCGTGCGTGCGTGAGTGTGAGGATACGGTACAGCCATTCTTCAAATAAATCTTTGAAGTTATTTCACGATTTTCTATGTGCATGTGTGAGAGTTCACTCCACTTAATCCTAGAATACAACCATTAGCGACTCTTCGGAAAAAATGCCTTGATTGATGATTACCTTAGGAAGCAACATTTGGTGAAGTGACATTAAGCGACCTTTTCAACCACTCTTGCAGCACCCGTATGGAGAAATTACCGAAATTTTGAATCTGCCAGACAATAAGACAGATATGATGGAAGAAATGAGCATGATGCAAAAGTAAATATCAGTGCACAGTTGTGATATAACTTACCAGAACAACGTAATTCCAGCTTGGTTTCATTTTCCTTAAACCCAACAAGTATTGAATTTTCAGTTTTTTCAAATATTTTGAGGCCTAAGATGCCGTTCCAATAATCAATAGATTTTGAGAGATTTGAGCTAGCGAGTGTTACTTTTTGTATTGGATCTAAAAGTATAACATTGGCCGTAGAATACCTTAGTACATACTTAGTACCTCTTGGACTTAACAAGCATTCAACACAAAGTGCTGAACATCTTGTGGGGTCTGTGAAATACTAGATATTTTTACCAGTTACTCAACAAATCATAAACAACATGTAAAATTAAATAATGCCATAAGTGATTCTGACATAATGGAAACTGCAGTTCCACAGGGGACTGTTTTTTCATGACAAGTGTTGGTCCCTGACTAAAATGGCTGTTCAAGATGTTATGGAAAAAGTATATACATAACTGGCTGAATGTGCATCACCAGTCTTTGAATAATCATATAGGAATATTGCATTTTCTATAAGAGACACAAATATATCTATATAATTTAGTAATATAGACATTAAAGGTTTGAAATAATCTATAAAACAAGTTAATCACGGTTAAGTATTTAGGTATAACCATTGACCAAAATCTAAAATGGAATAATTACGTTAGTTACCTTTCCAATAAAGTTAGACAACTACTAGATACATTTGATCAGCTCTGAGAATGCTTATCTGCAAATACAATTTTGCTTATTTATAAATTGTTAGTCAAGCCTCTCTATTTCCTTATGGAATTATTGTTTGGGGAGGAATGTATAAAAATTCTTTACAAAAATTGAATGTTACTCAGAATTACATTATAAAAATCATATACAATACACGAATTTATTATACATAAAAGATATTTGCACCCTGCAATCTATTTACATTCAAATGGCTTGTTTGTATGTGTTTAAAAATAAACTGAACCACAATTATGATACCTCTGAGTATGATACTTGCAGTAGATCTAATGAACTTAATAACAACACAAAGACATGATAGAGATAACCAATTTTTGTATTACACTTTACTGAAAATGTATAATATATTACTAAATGGAATGAGGAATAATAAGAAATCTGCAAAATCCATAAGACAATACATTTTTGATCATTACAAAACATATTAATATACTTGAGGGTTGGGCAACCAGGATTCTAATTAACCTTGATTTGAAACATTCAAATTACAGTGGAATTTTGTTCATTCAAGTGTTTTTAATTGGTTATATTATATTAAATATATTTGTATGATATATGAGCACAACACAAATATTAAGTCAGTCGGTGCTCCTACGAGGGATGTCATTTAAGTTTTGCATATAGAAACATAGTAGGCCGCGCGGATCGAATGTCAGTACTGAATCTTAACCTCACTCTTTAGTAAACTTAAATTCAAAGTTTCACAACAATACGTGTTCTCACTACAGTGAATTTTCATTAGAAAAATGGAACTCGACCGAGAACATTTTCGCGCCATAATGTATTACAACTTTCAGAGACAATTATCTCAACAAGAATGCCTTGCTGAGTTGCTGTCTGTTTTCGGCAACGAAGCGCCACATCAGTCGACAATTTCCCGTTGGTATGGTGAATTCAAACGTGGACGGGTGAGTCTTAGCGACGATCCCAGTGTGGATGCACCAAAACGGCAGTCACCCAGGAAAACGTCGATGCTGTGCGCAAACTCATTATTGAAGATATATCGCGAGATTGAGGCGTCCTTGAAGATCTCAAAGACCTCAATTCAAAAAATTTTACATGAAAAATTAGGAGTAAGAAAATTAGCTTCTCGTTGGATACCCCACCTGTTGACTGAAGAGCAGAAAGCAGCCAGGGTTAATTGGTGTCAAAAAACGCTTGACCGTTTCAATTTCGGAAACTCAAAAAATGTATACAGCATTGTTAGTGGTGATGAATCGTGGATTTACTGTTATGAACCTGAAAATAAACGACAATCGGCTGTTTGGGTGTTCCAAGGTGAAGAAAAGCCAACAAAAGTCATCCGTTCTCGAAGTGTTTCGAAAAAGATGGTCGCGACATTTGTGTCAAAAGCGGGTCATATTGCAACAATTCCTCTTAATGAGCAAAGAACTGTTATTGCGGATTGGAATACCACCATTTGTTTGCCAAAAGTCATCACCGTGCTTCAAAAAATCAACCCTGAAAGAAGAATCATCCTCCACTAAGACAAGGCAGCTCGCACACAGCCCAAAAAACAAGGCAGTATTTAACGGAAGAAAACGTGGAATTATTGGACCATCCTCCATATAGGCCCAATCTAAGTCCTAACGATTTCTTTACTTTCCCGAAAATTAAAAACAGACTGCGTGGTCAAAGGTTCCAGTCACCAGAAGAAGCAGTTGACGCATTCAAAAATGCCGTTTTAGATCTTCCAGCAAACGAGTGGAATAAGTGCTTCAAAAATTGGTTCGAGCGCATGCAGATGTGTATTAATCTTCGTCTAGAATACTTCTAAAAACAATAAAGTCATTTAAAACTACCTACCATGTTGTTTTATTTCCATATGCAAAACTTAAAAGACATCCCTCATATAACTTAGCTAGTCTTGGTTTGAATTTTATACTAGAAATACATTACTGAGATATTTATTATACAGGGTGCGGCAGAGAGGACGGACGTTTTTGGGATGGGTAGTACTCTCCGCCTCCGTCTACGAGAGAGGTGGAGAGAGTGCCGTTTGACTCGTGAGATCCTAGCATTATTTTACCAGTTGTCGTTATGGAGCCTTGGACGGTGGAGCACCGCGTTTTCGCCTATGACTGTTTCGTCCGAAATAATGAGTCAGTCATCGTCGTACAGCGTGAGTTTCGTCGCCACTTCAACATTCATCGGAATAGAGCTGTTCCATCTCGAAACACCATCCTTCGTTGGGCTGAATCACTTCGCAGGCGTGGTGAACTGATCAACAGAAGACCAAGAGAAGCGCCGCGAACAGTTCGAACTCCTGAAAATGTTGAACGCGTTCGACAGGTCTTTCTTCGCAGTCTGACTCGATCTGCCCGGAAACATGCTGCTGCACTTCGCCTTAGTGATCGTTCGGTAAGGCGAACTGCTTTCACCCCTACAAATTGGCCATTGTGCAACAGTTACAGCCCGGAGATTATGCACAACGAATGAACTTCGCACGTGAGATGGAAGCACTGATCGATCAAAATGAGAACCTCATTTTGTTTATGAGTGACGAAGCCCACTTTTACCTAAACAGCATGGTTAACCAGCAGAATTGTCGTTATTGGGCTAATGAAAATCCGCAACAGTTACACGAAAGAAGAGCGATGTTGGGGAGAGTCTACGCGAACTTCCAAGAACACCTCCAGCACTGCATCAACGATTTTGGCCACCACAATGCCTGATGTAATTTTCCACACTTGACTGTCTCAAATGCTATTTCCTTGTGAACATGATTCCATCAATAAATCTGTTTTCGAGTAAAAATTAACTATTTTATGATTTTTTTAAAACCGTCAATCCTCTCTGCCGCACCCTGTAGAATGTAAGTACTGTTCTTCACTTTTGTAAATAAATAGATACATAATAATGATAGGATTTGATTGAGATATTGAGGAAGACATACAAGGTTGTAAAATCACCTGTTTCATACAAACAAGCTCAATGAACCCCACATGATATCTGGACTCTAGATATTCCTGTGGAGGGATATGGATCTTGGTTAACTATGCAGGTATATTTGGCTTCTTTACCTGAATCACTGGGTTGCTTCTCATCGATCACTTGAAAGACATATCCACCTGGTGCTTCCAATTTATTGCCTGGAAGTATCGGCCAGTTTTCTTGTTTAGCCCTTTTGAGAGCTTCACTACTCTTTACAGTAATACTGATAAAATCATTTCCTTTCTCATATGAATGTATGCCATAATTATATGTTAGTTCAATAGCAAAATGATTATCTTCTGGACCATAGCCTACCATTGTTTTACTCCATCTACCTTTATAAGGCCTATAGTGAGACACACCATCAGAAAATAACTAAAAGGGCATAATAGAAAACTTTTGGAGTTGACATACTAAAATCATTCCAATTTCTTTTCCATTTTGCATTTTTCATGAGATAATGCATGAATCCACATATCATTGGATATTTACCATGTAAATATTAAATTGCTATAGAAGAAACATTCATTGCAGTTATTTTGCAAGTATCTGGTTGCTTGCACTTAGGCACCATTTTTTCCCTAATCTTAGTGATCAGAGAGAGAACATATGATTTGTATTGCAGCTTGCAGAAATAACACAAGAAGTGTACATCACTTTTACTTCTATGTACTCCTACTCCAGCTTATTTTTCCACAGTAGTAATGCGAGGGGCTTGGTAGGTATCAATATGTCATCATTTTTTGACTCTGTAGGTCCCACAAAGATGTATTGCTATTTGCCCTACTAATAACTGACTAACATAAATACTGTTTGAATAAAATAAAAGTGTACCATAAAGAAGGTGTAGTATTGAAATGTATGGTTTTTAGCAACTCCATTACTAAAAGATATAATAAAATCTTAGTGTTCATACTTACCCATTGCAAGTTGCTTCACAGCCTTCTGAAAATTCTTCATGTCTCAAAACTTTCATGCCTAATACATTTCTATAAAATCTCATAGTCTCTTTCCTGTCTGGTATTTTGAATACATAGTGGAGAGCTCTTCCAGTAAGCTGAACCATTTTTAGCCTGAAGAAAAATAACAGCAAAAATTGAATGAGTAATGTACATATATATATTATACTTGTCAGATAGCTTGGTAATAACTGGATATCTTATCAATTATAGTCTATAATTCTGAATATTGCTGTAATGGTTCTAGAAAATATTGTATGGTTAAGTACCTATATCATTTATATTATATTTGTATGTAATTCTCTTACAACCTTCAAGGTTGACCGGTTAGCTATCCTTGTAGAAATATGTATTTCATACCAGTTTTCCATGAAATAGAAAACGATCATAGTTTATAAATGAAGGCAAAAAACACTATCAGCATGTGTTACATATATACATATAACACCTTATTGTACTTACAATGCCATACGACATACGAGTAATAGCACAACTAACCTGTGCAAAAATAAAAATAGCACAAAACAAGGCTTGTTTAATCAGATTATTCTACTTCTACTTTCCACTTCCCCCACTTTCTTATTATTTACTTTCAATTTTCATACTAATTACTAATGTCATGTCAGTCTGTCACTAGGCAGTCGTCATTCTTGGTCACATGGCAGAATTGTTAGGTGATGGTATATTTTCCGCTTTAGCGTTTTTGTAACTTGTAGAAGGCCAAATTTGACCAACGAATTCTATTAGATTAAAGGCAGCTAACAGCTAAGCGTATATGTTTACATTGCATTGCATTACAAGTGACAGCTTTGTATCAACACAATAAGAATAATACCCACAATTAGCGGTACATCTAACTACAATCATTACGCTAGTGGTGCTCTTTGCAAGTTATGTAAGAAGTTCCATGTATTTAAATCGAATAAACTAAAACTACAGTTATCTGCAGACACTCGCTTTTTTAAAAAATAATACTAAAATATGAATTTAATAAAAATATGTCAAATGTTTAATCATACACTTTGATCCTCACTACCGACTATGAGAATTGGGAAACAAATCACGTCTTAATTCGTTGACTGAGACGCATTGAAGTTTTTTATGTTTGCTTATTTTATCAGTCACACAGAACATAAGAAGGCACTAGGTACCTATAATGCGGGAAGGTAATAAGCGCCCCAGTGATAGTATTTATATCAGATTTATATCGAAGAACCAATATTACACCAGACCCAACCCACTTGAAAGCAGTGTCTTGTCAAAAATAAGAATACGTTCTATGAGGCTGTGGAAGATTGGCGTGACAATAAAATTAAGCAGACTTCTTCAAAATGATAATTTATTACTTCAGAGGAAATTACTGCGATCTGGAACATTCTACTTGGGAATACAGCTTCGTCGACAGAAATTGTGAATGAACATTCAATTACAGCATATAAAGTTTGGCATCTTCTTGGAAGATACGTTTTCAATGCTGGTGGCTTAGAACAATCCGCCGCTGACACAGATAAAGACAAATTAATAGCATCCGTCAATTATATGTTTGCCATGTTTTAAAAATAGTACAAAATCATTCACCGATGAATAGATTTATAGAGTCATCAGAAACGTATCCTCTTGTCTTCATGCTGATAGAACTTTATGTTTCCTTGACCAAATGAAACTACATATACTAATATTAACAGACGTTTTGGCCACCAAAGTAACTTCTTTTCAAGCACAGAACAACGGCAATGCCAATATATTTTATGTTTATCTGTCTTCTCAAATCTCGCAACCGACATTTTTCATTCAATCCGGCACATTCTCGCTATATATGGGCTATCCGCGCTGTCGTGCAAGCCACGAATTTTGATAGAAGAGAGGATGTATTGACTACAAACATGAACTTGCCGACGTTTACGAGATACTCGTCTTTCTCAATAAAGATAAATAAATACATATATGCATACTGTAATCAAATTCAAGTGGATAACCAAATGGAAATAGTATTTACCATTTTGGGTTGGTATTTACCGATCCGTTCAAGCGAGTGTAGTTATCAGTTTGGTTATAAGATCCGTGACGTCACGAATCAGCTGTTATATGTCATAGTTATCACCGCAAAATTGTGGTATTTACCCAACTCAAGAGTAGTTTTATATTTCTGGTTATTATTTGAAATGTGACTAGTTAGAATTTTGGCGGGTATTGGATATTGTTATTGTACTTCAGCTTCATTTTTGAGAAAATTGATACAGGCTGACTTCAGTTTTACCATAAAGTGGAGCACCTTATTAGTTATACTCATTACGGTTGTTGGGGACACTTTAAATGTAGTTCCTATGCTTAACAAACTATTCTGTGTAGCCATATACCACAAGAATATTAAAATATGGCCATATAAACTCACTAGATGATATCTACCTGTATACGGTTTTGCTAATTTCTTTTCTCATCATTTCTGCGTAATCAATAAATGTATTCTTTGACATGCGGAAAAATTTAGAGAATTGAAAGTTATCATAGCTACAAAGCCATGGTTCCATCATTAAAAAAAAAATCTGAAAAAAACATTTCTCCCATGAATATTATGAAAGGTTTCTTATTTAAACTTTCCATACACAGTTGTAGACGAAAAAGCACCGATTATTAAGTAATAATAAAAATAATCAGAGATTATATACGCGCTTTTCTAAAATAAACAACTTGCAACAAAACCGCGGTTAAAACCAACGCGTTCAAGCGATTCGTGTAACTGACGTCTTCAACCCGTGTGTCATCTTGAACCATATTATAACCGCGGCACATAACACAGAAATTTTGGTTATTCGCTTGGATTTGATTTGTGATATTTCACACTCCCCAAGAAACCAGTTACAAAGTTGCAACGAGTACCCATCTCTACAAATAAACCCGCAGTTTTTTTGCAAGGTTATGTTGCACTTGACATATTTGACGTTTACTTATGAGAATGATAATGATACCAAATTAGGATTTTTTTTTCCAATTCTGGTTCAAGTGTGGGTGTGAATCGTGTAATTAATTACTAGGAAAGGTCTAATTAATTATCCACCATGGACGATCACTTAGGTAAGCCAAAATTTCAGACTATTTTGTATTTGTCTTAGCAGATCCCACACAGACCCATCCTAGATTCTAAATATTTTGGTTAAATCTAAATTGGGGAAAAACTTGTTAAAAAGTAGTTAAATTTCCTATGAGAATATATATTACACAAAGCTTTCTTGGTAAAATTTCTTTTATTTTATATGGGTTCAATTTTTTCATTGGGACAGATTAAACTGCCACTCAGTTATACACAACTATATATACTCCACAAAATTACAACTTTATGAATAAATACGGAGCAAATACAGGATGATTAAAGGGTGGTTACATCATAGTCATATATGTAGCTTAACTTCCCTAAGCAAAATTACATTCTGCATAATCCAATTTTTAACGCAGCTCAGAATTGCTCTTCTGAATAGACACGAATTTGGTGATAGAGGATCATTGCTTTCAGAAAATATTGCAATAAATTTAAAATGGAGTCTGAACATTGTATTGTATCTTTGGCATTTCTGTTTTTATGAAATATTAACAAAAGGTAAACTCAAATTGCACCCCCATGACAAGCAAGTTATCATAGTGACAAGGATAAATGTGAAAGACTCATACCTCCATAAAAAAATTTTCAAGGTGGTAAGACAAAACCGATTGCCTAAATATGTTTGTGTGAGGAAGATGGATGTATGAAAGTAATTTCTGGTGTTTCACTGTGACCAACTAAAAACTGTGAAGGAACTATACAAGTGTTTCAAGGTGTTGAATTCACAATGATAAAATGCATATGCAAACATACCATGTGTTACAATGTGTTCCTATATTATGCTGAAACCATTCTCATATTGCTATTTCTCTCGAGGAAAGCTATAAGTTAAGTGAGCTACCATCAAAACATCCCTGCATGAACACTTTTGTAAAATGACTTGGTTTATGCAGTTCAAAAACTTTTGCTGCTCGCATTTATTTGTCTTTCCATCTATCTAGTATCTATATTGTCTGTCCAGTAGTTGTGCTCCAATAGGCTGAAAGTACTGCTTGAATTTTGAGAAACTCCATTAATGGAATAATCTCTGAAAACTGTTTATTTACGAGTGCTCTGAAAATAAAAGATGTGTGGCTCAATTCATAATTTAAATAACTCACACATGTACCATGGTACATGTACATGGTTTGGATTTGAAATATTAATGCAAAATTCAGATTCATGATAGGATGTAGCTTAGATCCTTTTAGTTGTTTTGAATTTATAACTGGAACAGATACTAAACAACTACTCATACTAATATATTACACCTTACACCTTCGGGTAGATAGGATTTTGATTATATATATATATAGAGGGCATAACTCTACATCATGCATCTTTTTAGATTTGTGGCTGAAAATATTGTTATTATGTTTAAATACTAGAAAAGGACAATCACAGCAAATATTACAAAACATTTTCAGTGACCCTGCAACCATTTATGTTTCATTAATCGTTTATAATTATTCATGTTTATACATATAGACACGTTATTTAGTTGTATATGGTTGGGTATCATGATCCTTTAAATTTCAATAGCATATGATGACAGTTCAAAAGTTTCACTTATTATTGGGAACTGAATTTATAGCCTAAACAAAAAGTGAGCTTAGAAAATATAAGCTATGAAGCTGTATAAAGATTTAAAACATTCTTGCAGTGAATTTTTACCTTTAAATGAGTGATCAGCTAAAATATCCCAATATTTAATGGAATGCAGCAAAACAACCTTTCTAGCACTTGACATAGGTCCCACAGCGCAATTCGAAATTTTCCATATGGTGACTGTATATGCTGTTCCCACCAGCTGGGCTATTTTGTTGGCTATCATTCTATTGCTGATGCAAAGCCTGAATCTTGTATGATTAGTAGTTATCCTTGTCGCGTCTTAATACGATCAGGAGCTAAGTAAATGTACTATGAATTGCAGAAACCAGCAGGCCGCAAAGGATCAAAAGGTTACATGACATATATTTTTTGTACCTAGTAATTTTAATGACTAAAATGCCTAATTCTGCTAGTGGTTAAGGTGAAAGAT